AGAAGGAATGAGGAAAAAGAATCTTGCTAAAACAGCAGGTTTGCCAGCATAGATGAATTCAATTCGGTTCAGCAACATTTATTGGTGTTCAATGAATCCAACCTGCTTCAATGAATTAATGTATATCCTATATATTTTAGATAAACCTCAAAAACCCTGAGACTAGAGTTAAGGGGTAGCACAAAAACTGGGAAAAGTATTTTAAGTGTGGAAATCAATACTAAAAGTCATCTGCTAATGTACACTGAATTGAACTGACACTGGATGGCTGAAGCAATAACTAGAAAATCTTGCTGCCAATAAACATCAGAAAATCTCCTATTACTATAACACTGAATCAATACTTTTGTTTGACAACAAACCCGCTGTTCACAGTCTAAGAGTCTCTTACAATGTTTTTGTTCTTGAAAGCATGTTCAGTGGCACTGTAAAATAAGACCGGATTAGCAATTATAAAGTCTGCCTACAGACCTAAGGGACTAGAGTAAACGCAGTTTGAAATGCAATCTGCTCAACAACAGTAATCGATTTTACTTGAATTTTCACACGGGGAGTCAAAAAGTTGTCCTTTGAGTTAAACGTTTTTATCCATTGAAAAATAAGACATCTCAAACTGTCTCAAGAAAAGTATAGATAGGCACTTTCATCACCGTGGCAGCCACAAAAGGGCTACGTGAGGTGGTGCACACGTGTAACCCCAGATACTCAGGAGGCTGAGGCGAGAAGAGAGTAAATTCAAGAAGGCAGCCTGGGTAACTCAGTAAGGGAGGGGGCTATCACTCTGGAGGTGCATGCATGCCTAGCATGTGCAAGGTCCTGGGTTCAAACACCAGCACCACAAAAAAAGAAAAAAGAAGAAGAGGAAGAGTTGAAGGAGGAGAAGAAAGGGGAGTGAGAGGAGAAAAAAAGACAGTGAGTGGAGCGAGAGGGAGGGGGAAGAAGTCGAAGACAAAGGGCAACAACTGCAAAGAGAAATCAGGAACCAGTGAGACAGCAACTAGAGTGACGGGAACCCTCTAGCATCCCTATTCTGCTTACCTTCATGGTAAGACTGAAGCACTCCTCGGGGCTGCGGATGTAGCTCAGGGGCACTGCACCGGCCTGGCAAGCACGAGGTCCTGAGTTCAATCCCCCATGCCAAAATAGCTGTGGGGGGGACTGAGGCACTCCTAGGCTTAGAGTTCAGATCACCTGTCAAAGGTATGGAATTCATTCTAAGGTGTTAGTTCATATCCCTCTTTGCTCCCTTTCTTCCAAAACTCAACCCCTTGATTTGAAAGACTCTGAAGTCTCTACTACCCCAGGAGGCACAAGTTAGACACACAGAGGAAGCAAAAGCTTTGCAGGAAAGCAAAATTTTGGAGGCTACGAGGAGATAGAGAAAGGTAAGAAAGGACACCGGCAAAGATAAAAGGAATTGTCTCAGCACATGCAAGTCTACAAGGGATGCTGAAAGTTGTTGCCGTTTCCTTTGTGCAGTTTTGAAGAAAGCAGAGTAGGCACAAGAGGCTGCTTCCAGTCAAAACGTAGTTAATAAGGGGAAGCCAGGGAGTTATTATTTAATGGAAACAAAATTTCAGTCTGGGAAGTTCAGGAGAAGGATGGCGGCAATAGATGCACCACAATGTGAATGTACTCAACATCACTGAACCTAAAAATGCTAAGAGCCAATCTCAAATTCTGTATATTTTACAATAGAAGTTTTTTTTAAAAAAAAATTAGTTAATGAAACAATAGCGAGGACAAAACGGCACCCACAAGACCCAAAGAGCAGCAGGAGGGTGAAAAGATCCTTAAACCAGCAGATAACCAGGAATACACGGTTCGAGGATTCCGGGAGACAGAGCAGGACACGGAAACTGGCAAGAGTGGCGCTATGGACATTCTGCAAGTTTTCAACATCAGCAAGTGCAAGGCTGCAGCACAGAAGGACAGCACCCAATGTCACCATCGATGAAGTTCTTCAAAGCTGCAACCAGCTGTTGCTGTAAATTCTTAAACCCTGTGAACACTCTCTTTCATGAAGAGAGCAACATGAAGGACAGCTGTCCATTTGTACCCACTCTCAAGTCTTCAGAGAGACTCTGCCCAGGTTTTAGCTGCCTTTAGTGTTTGCCAGAATGACAGCATCTTACCTTTTTAAGAAAAATTTTTAAATCTGAAATTTCTATATTCTTCATACACTGCTGGTGAGAATGTAAAATAGTGCAGCCTCTTTGATTTGTTTGTTTTGTTTGGTTTTTTGGTTTTTTGAGACAGGGTCTCACTAGGTAGGTGAGACTGACCTGGAACTCACTATATAGTCCAGGCTAGTTTCGAACTCACAGCAATCCTCCTGTCTCGGTCTCCTGAGGGCTGGGATTAAAGGCATGTGCCACCACACCTGGCAAGCGCAGCCTCTTTGAAAAACAGTCTGACAGTTTCTCAAAATGTTAAGCACAAAGTTACCACAAGATTCGGCAATTCTACTCCTTGGTATATATCCAAGGATGAAATATATAGATTTCTACAAAAATTGTACACAGATATTCATAGCAGCTTTACTCCTAATGATTAAAAAATGTAAGCACCCCCGATGTCCATCAACTTATGAGCAGAAAAAAAATGTGGCAATAGAGTATTACTTAGTAATAAAAAAAGAGTATGAATAAGATAGCAAACGCATGGTATAACATGGATAAAAGGTCTTACATCTTATTTCATTTATATGAAATGTCTTGAATATATGAACAATCCACAACACAAAAATGTAGACACAGGAAACATCTGTGGATTCCTAGAGGTGGGGTGGGCAGTACATGGGGAAATGGGTACACAGTTTCTTTGTAGAAAAGGAAACAAAAATGTCCCAAAATTAGATTCTGGGGACTGTTGTACAACCTGGGAATTTACTACAAAACAATGAACTGAACACTTCAAACAGATAAATTATATAGTGTGTGGATTATGCCCCAAGCTAAGAATTACACTGAATCTTTAACAATTAAAAAATTCAGGTAAAGTTCAAAAATATACACAATGTACACTGAAGATCAATAACTTTACTCTGCTGTCTGTAAGATGGTTCATGTAGTGTTTCAAAACACAATTTCAAATTTAACCATCATTTATTCATTTACTCAGCAAAAGTTTACTGGCTGTTAACTACAAAGCCCAGACGCTACACTACGCAAGATGAATAAAATGATAAATAAAATGCGACCTATGACCTTTAACATTTTCACAAAGAAGACAAAAGATATAAACCAATCAAATGTTTTTATGTATTTTATATATGCTGCTATAAAACTTACTTGTGACCTTAAACTCTGTTCAAGGTTTTTTTAATGGATCTAGCTAAATTTCATTTACAGCCAAAGATACACTGGGTAAAAGCTACTTTCTCTCAACTGTTATTATAATTACTAAGGAAACATGCTTCCCTACTGGCATGTGCTGGCGCAGTGAATTACTGCTGAAGGGACATGAAGGAGGGGCCTCTGCATAATCAGGCACAAACGGGAGCAACACAACAGGGAAAGGGAGGAATGGGCCCCAAGAGAGGCCCAGACAATAGGAGGTGGCTTGATTGGGGGAGGATGGACGTGCGTGTGCATGGAAGTCCAGGGTGCTCCCGAAGGGAGGGCCCAAGAGAGATAACATTCAGGTCCTCACAAAGGACATGCACGAAGAATGGAATGCTCTACAATGCAGCCCTTCATCTGACAGTTTCGGGACAGAAAAGGAGAAGTGCAGAATTACGCAGACCTCAGCAAACATGCTGGGTAAACCAGTGTGCTACAGAAACACAGGAGACTGAAGGAAAGGTAGAATATAAAATAAAGAGAAGCCCAAATGCCCAGAGAAAGAATGCCTGAGATAATTTTTTAAAAGGTTAGCTGAAAACTTGAAATAAAATAGTATATTTTATGCTCTAATTGCAAAGACAAAACCATGGCAGAAATGCTGAAACTGCTATTAATTCATTAACCTCTTTAGCCAAAGCTGTTCAATTTTTAAGTGCCAAAAAAGTGGCCAGGAGCAAACTATTTGCTAATCAATAGTATACCTACTAACATCCAATCTTTGGTGTAAGAACCGTCAATGAAGCCAGGCATACTGGTACACAACACACCGGCTCTGACAGTCCCCATCCATCCCAGTGCTTGTTCAAGATTTCAAGTAGAGTCCAAGTCATGTCGGCTCCAGAGGCAAATAAAGGTTCTGGCTACATCTGCCTTGACCCTGAACTCTCTCCTGCTGCCCTGTGGCTGCCTTTTGTAGCTTTCCTCCTTGCCACTCTGAAATATCTTGTCAGAACCTCTTTTGTCCAATGAAAACAAACTTTGGAAAATGTTCTAAGTATATACTATGAGCAAACAACTTAAAAAAAAAAAAGAAAGAAAAGTACTGGTTCAAGTCAGGATTTCGCAACTTAATCATGGACCAAAAGCTAGAGTTAAAGCAACAGGCTTTGAATTTCATATCTTCCCAAGCTGGCAACATGCGGTATGAACAGCAGCAAGCTGTAGCTCCCAGTTAGCCATACAATTATGAAGAAAAATAAGCAAACACCACATTACACTGTGCTGTTAAGCTGTGATGTTCAGTATGTTAAGTTCATTAAATGCATATTGAATGAGGAAATTTTCATTGTACTCTGGGTTTATTACTGACATACAATTGAGCAACTTTGGCATAGTGGTTAGGCCCAGCAAAGAAAGTAAATTTGTTGAAAGCTTAGTGAAGTGGTACCACACAGCAAAGTGTTTTTCGTGGAGCTGCAGCAGACTTTAAATACAACCTGTGGATTTTCATATATTAGTGCCCCTTATCCAAAGTTTCACTTTCTGTGGTTTCAGTTACCTGAAGTCAGCCATGGCCTGAAAATATTAAATGGAAAATCACAGAAACAACTGAGCCGTAAGTTTTAAATAACTCATGTTACAGCATGTTATAACTGCCTTACTTTATTATTAGTTAATAATCTCTTTTAGCTGTTAATCTCTTACTGTACTGTACCTAACATAAACTATTGCAGGTATAATAAATAGCAAAGATATAGTATATACACATAGAAAGTTCATAATATTCTTGATTTCAGGCATTCAATATTGTTGTCTTGAGTTCCCCTCTTAATAGGATCTTTCTGTTTGAGCAGGGCATGGTGGCACACTCCTGTAATCCCAGCACTTGGGAGGCTGAGGCAGGAGAATGGTAAGTTTGAGGCCACTCTGAACTACACAGAAAATACCAATTGAGTGTGAACTATATATAGTGAAACTCTGTCTCAAAAAATAAAAATAAGGGCTGGGGATTTAGCTCAGTGGAGCTACTGCCTGCCTCGCAAGTACAAGGTCCTGAGTTTGATTCCCGGGACCAAAACAAAAAAATTTTTTAAAAAAGAGAGAAAGAAAGAAAAGATCATCTTTAGCTATGTGTGGCTGCTGAGCACTGCAAATATGCATAGGGCGTAAAGGAACCAGATTTGTTTGTTTTATTTCATGTAATCCATGTAAACCTAAATAACGACATGCAGCTGAGCACTTCAACAAGGGACAGTAAGCTCCAGACCACTCTGTTTCTTGAGGTACAATCTGGAGATCAGGTAGAGCAGGCACACTGCACCGGAGGCAGATGGATGGATGCACATACTTTCAAGTTCAGACTATTTAGCCAATCACTTACAGGTTAACACGCGCTACTTCTGCTACCCCACAGAGTGACTCTGGGGCACAAAAAATAAACTGGCTCTCAAACAGCCCTCGAAGAGGAAGAGCACTTACTGAGCACCGCAGAGACAATGCAAGCCAGCAGGAAGGATAAACCTTCCATGTTCTTCCAAGCTCATTCAGATTTGACCCCTAGGATTTGGCTGTTTCAGACATTTTCCCCAAAGGAATGCAGTTCTTGTTAGGGAAACAGACTCAGTTCTAGGAAACAAGGGCCCTAGACCCTACCAAGATGACTTCTAAATGAGTGGGTCAAGAAGAAATGTGAAGAATCTCACTCCTGTCTGATATCCTGTGATTCTGACTCTAAACTAATAATCGCTAGGAAAAGGAAAGCTGTTAAACCTTCATTTCTAGAAGTTTCATTTCCCTGTGGGGAAGCCAAGGAGAACCTTTTAGAAGCTCCTTTAAGCTCTCCACATCCTGAGAGTCTCAGGAGGTTCTGAGCCTAGGGGCAGCCCTTCCTCCTCTCAGACCAGCATGATGGAGACCCAGGTCCACGTACCTGAGGCCACAGTAGTAGGGACACTGGCCGGCACAGGCTGAGAGGCGCCGCTGCTCTCCATCATGAGGCATGGGTTGCCACCAGCGTTCTCTCTCTTGACAAGCAGCTCGGTAGCACTGGGCAGTGGAATGGGGTGGCTGATACCCAGTTCCTCCTCCTGCGCCTGCTGCCTTCTCAGAGCCACCTAAAGTACAGAACAGTAAAAAAGCACTGATGGATTAGGAAGAAGATTTGGATCAATCACTCCATTCCACAAACATGTAAAAAGACACTGCCCTGGGAATACCAACCAATAAGGTTAGATTAGATCCTAAGTTCCTTACCATTTAGGAAAAATAAACGAGACAGACAGGCATGCAACTACATGACAAAATTTGATTTTTGCCTTTACAGAGGCACACAGCAACCTTATACAAGAAATTCAGAGGGAAATGTCTTCAAAATGCAAGACACAGCCAGAAGTAGTATTCCAACAGAGCCTTGAAGAATAAAATTGCACAGGCAGTGAGAAAGGGAAACAGCAATCTAGAACAATCTGGAACAGGGTAGGCAGGAAATGCTGGGACTGCTTATGAAACTCTGCAGAACCCTATTTCCCAGGGATAGAAGAGGCATCTAGAAAATCAGTCAGGAAAGGGGTGGAATCTTGTGAAGTCTCTGAGAAGGAAGAAGTTGGAAGTGAGGAAAAAAGGAAAGGGTATGCGTGCTGTGTGGATATTATTTTGGGCAAAAGAAAAGGAAAATCAGAACTAATATAGAGAAGAAACTGACATACCTATGAAACTCTCCATGGTCCTTCTTCAATTTATCATCTTTTGAATAACTGTTGAAAGTTTTTTAAAGGCTTTGAAATTAAGTTTGTGTTTTTGTTTAAAACATGTGACAAGAGACTTTCTACTGAAATTGACTATTCATGACCATTAAATTAGAAAGCGAAGTACTTGTACCTCTGAGACCCAAAAAATAGCCCAGAGGTCATTAAGACTGTAAATTAAAAACACAGCTACAACGCAAAGCTGGGCAACGTGTTGCAGTCTTACAATTCCAACTACTCAGGAGGCTGAGGAAAGAGGATTCCAACTGGGCAAGCAGGGTACACAGTGAGACCTGGTCTCAAAACAGTAAGGGCTGGGGATGTCATCTCATGGCTCTCTGGGTTCAGTTCCCAGTACAGCAGAAAACAAACATAACTACAATCAATATACTGCATAGTCCAAGCTAGATGATTAATTTGGAAATAACTTATACTCAAACCAAAGTCTTCAACTTGGAAAAATAAACCTTAAATAACCAATTATTTAAGGCTAAACTTAAGTTTTGGATCTTATTATTAGCCTACAAGTTTCAGAACACTATCAATGACTTTGAACAAACACAAATTTTCAAAAAACTTACAAACCTCTAAACCATATCAATACACACTTATACCCCAATTCACACAGATCCTACACATCCAAAATGCACCGATTATTCCATAAATTCAGGACATCTTTAAAAAGACCTTCTCGGTCTGTTAAGAATTGTTTTTTGAATAAGAAGGGGGGTGACAACTAATTAAAAATTTTTATTATCATAGATATGATCCATTTCAAGCTACAGTATTTTAGAATGCCTAACAACTGTATGGATTTTTAAAGACTTTAGGGTTACATAAATTTGCTGTGAAGAATCCTCAGGTTTCACATCTAAAAGTAACTGAGGCTTTAAAATTCAGCAAACCACCCCATCAAAACTAGTCCCCCAAATAAAAATTACTCAAAACTAAGGCCCCCGAAGATAAATCTTTTAGTCCCAACTACTCTTCACATGAAATAACTAAGCCAATGACTAAATGTCCATACCTCTTTTTTACTTATAATTTAGAAGCCCTTAAGTTTCTAAAACTAACTGCACTGTGATGTTATTTTAATGTTACACCCAATGTATATCTTTCCACTCACTATAGATAGAGCTAAAAATCTAAGGGGAAAACTATGAAATTTTCAATGACTGTCCTGGCAGTAAGTGAAGCCAAACTATGTCTAATTTAAAGCATATTTTTAGAAATCTGTTGTACACGGAAAGCAGATGATCTTTAACTTTTTGTGAAGTCCCGTTCAACCTTCTCATCTAAATCACTTTCAAAAGAGAATTTTACACGTTCCTAGTCAAAAGTTGCACGTTGTTAGCGAACATTTCTTCCGTATCTTTTCGTTTTCAATAACCTGTCTTTAAAAGATGAAACAACTTTTAGGTGGAAAAGAATGTATATTATTGCCTTCTAAAACTCCCTGGAGGATCCCAACGGCATTATTACCGCGAAGATGCTAAATTACCGCGAAGATGCTAAATTACTAACCTGCTGCTGCCGAAGCTACGTAAAAATGAAAACCACCGACAGAACTTGAAACCCGCACATTTTCCCCCTTCGCATGTTCTTTTAAAACTCTTAAGCATCATTAAAATACAGTCCAAGTCATTTGCGCCCGAACCACTTGGGTCGAGGCTGCAGTTTCCGACGCTAACTTCTCTCGGGTGCTCAAAATGGCTGAGGCGCCGAGGGGGAAAAGCGCGAGGAGCGCGGCGACCGGTACCGGACTCTCCCGGAAGGACCCGAGGCGCTCCGCTCCGGCCACCCCCTTCTCCCGAGCGCGGACGCCCCCAGGTCCTTCCTTTTCCGAGCAGGGACCTCAACTTGTCCGCGGGGTCGAGGACAGCGGGGACCCCAGCACCCGCTCCTGCAGCG